CGACGGCGGCAGATCAGATGGCTTTCCGGTGGCGCCTTACATCTTAGAGGTCGCGAATGTCCCTCGCTCCTTTACCACGGAGTAATTCGTCCTTCATTGTAATCTAACAGCCCCATTTGGTGTGTATCTACGCAACGACGTGACAGCATTTGCGGGCGTCGGTGGCCTAGAGAACATCCCCTAATCTTTCTCCCTTGAGGGGGTCATGATGGTGAAGGTGTGAGACTCCCCACTTCCCTCTGTGCTCCGGTTTCCCACCCAGGCCGTCTCCCCGGGGGTGTCCTGAAGTTCAAGGCTATGGAAAACCCCACACTCATTGACAGGCTTCAGAACCATGGTTTGGTTTGGTTTTGATACAGCTTCATTTTACTTTGTGGAAATAAAGGCCAGTCACATGAGAAGGAAAGGCTGTTAGGACGCAGCCCTGGGGAGCGGGGCGGCGGCCACACCGCCCCTGCCTGGCAGAGACTCAGAGGCAGGCAGAGGAGCGAGGGCTTTGTCATGGAAAGGCTGGAGGCCGCTCACGGGCGCATCCTCTGCGGGTGGCTGGGCACATAGGCTCTCCCGGTGGGAGCAGAGATGGGAACGGGGCTGTCGGTTACTGATCCGGTCCTCGCCCTCGGGGGCCGATCGTGTGAGGCTTATCGTGTGGCCTCCGGGACCGTTCGCTAGAAACAGCAGACTGACTTCCCGCGGGTCTGCCTTGGGCGGCGCGTGCTGGCTTCCTGGGCTGGTTACCGTAGACAGCGGGTTGGAATTCGGGGTGTTTGCCGTGGATCGTGGGTCAGAGTTCTGTTCTCCTACGTATTGCTTTGCCATCGTCCATCTAGATAGTCAGTCTCTTCTAGACTTTCTAGGAAAATAATTATGAATTTATGGAGAGATGTTATCGAAGAATTATCTATAGTGCAGAAGAACCGAAATAACTTAAATTTATAACGATGGGGTCTAGTTCAATAAATTATACGGTTTTGATGAAATATTATATAACTGCCATTTTTGGATGATATAGAAGAATGTTTAATGTCATTAAATATTTTTAATACTTTAAGGTAAATATAACGGTTATGAGACAATAGCTGTATTATGACCTAATTTTTGTAAAATAACGTGTGTGCCTAGAGAAACAGACTGGTGTGGTGTGGATCACACCGGCTCCCACGCGAGCTTGGCGGGGTCAAGAGCGATTCAAGACTTCTTTTCTTTCATCCAGTCTTAAGTTATATAAAATTAATGTAGACGTTTCTATGAGCAGAAAATTCCTATAAATGTATTTTTAAGGAGAAAAGGAGAAAACGTATATGTCTGTTGACACATATGAACAGCGTGCCCATTCAGGGGAAGGGGACACCGAGGTAGGAAGAGGTGTGAACAAACGGTCAAAACCCACGTGGTGCGAAGGCGCAGAGCTGAGTAAACGTGCATCCCGCGGCCACTGTGCTCACTGTGTGACGGTCACCGCGGCTCGCTGTGTGACAGTCACTGTGGCTCGCTGCGTGACAGTCACCGTGGCTCGCTGTGTGACGCGGCCACTGGCTAGAGCTCTCTGTCGTGATAGCGCTTGCTCACAGATGTGTTCCTTGAAACCCGAAAACGTCCGTCTTGACAAGCTGCCAGGTGAGACGCAAACGTTCTGTGCCGGGGAGCCCTGCAGGAGCTTCGCGGGTGTGGGGACCGCCCGAAGCCAGCGCGCTCGCCCGTTTCTCATCTGAGGATGGGAGGCTCCGTTGCAGGCTGAAGGGTGAGGCTCAGACGCGGGAGCCTCGGCTCCCCTGCCTGTGGCCGAGGTGACCCTCGACGCCGCTCCGAGCGGCAGGTCTGGGAGGGTCTGTGGCTGCACACCGCTCGGCCATGTGCTTCTCACAGGCAGACGCTTTCTCAGGAGAAGGTGGCTGGTGGTGCCTTTGGTCACGGGGACACAGTAGTCATCGTGACCTCAAACGTGGCTATTGGAGTTTGTCCTCAGACAAGAGGCCTGATCCTTAGGCGCAGATTCTATGGTGCATGATGGCGGAAGCTAAGACTTTTTTTTTCTGTCCATCGTGTAAAGAGGATTCTAAAAACTCTCAAAAACAATCCGTACCTATCGATCTCGGAATTCTCGCTCACCTTAAGGTCTCTGGGGCAAGGAGCAGGTGTAGCGTGTCGCCGTGTCCCCCATGGTGCCGGGCGGGCAGCCGAGGTCGGCTCTACGGCCACTTTACAAAGCGGCCAATTCGCCGTCAGCCTGAAGATTTAGATTTGAAGAATGAGTGAGCGGGAGAGATTGATAAGATTTCAAAATGGTAAATGGGATCTTGGTCCAAAATAGCCAGGGCTGTGCGTGTGATCTTTTTTATCCGATGCTGTCCATTTATAACTAATGAACCTTTCAGCCCTAAGTAATCTGAACGGTGCTTCTCAGCGGACTTAGTCACAGGAGTCCCTGAACCCATACGTGAGGTGGATGGTGCTCGAAGATCTCTAGATAGCATGTCCCTGACACACACACACACACCCTTCCGTTTCTCAAATATACACAGGTACTTCCGCGGCTAGTAAAATGAAGATTTATTTAGATGCATTCTGAATTCACAGGCGCGATTTAGATTTTCTATCTAGTCTCGTTTCAGTTTTGGTAACTTATTTCCAAGTGCTTTCACTTTAATTTCCTAATTTAATATTATATTAACACACAGAGCAATGTTTTCCAGGTAACCGCTCCCCGGAGAAGGAGGTGATCCTAGAAGGCGAGAGGCCCAGCGGACCCGGTTCCAAGCAAGGAACACCGGACGTGCCGAGTCGGAACCACACCGGCACCGGCCCAGGGGTCGCCGAGCCTGCCAGGATCACGGCCCTGTGAGGATCATGTGCTCCTTTAGCTTCGCATCGGTGCAAAGCCTGAGGCATCCTCGCTGACTGGCTGCTGCTTCGAGTGCTTTGTCGAGGAGGAGGAGGAGGAGTTTCTAACAGTTTTCGTCCCTTGTGTCTGTGTTAAGTTTCCAGGGCAGCAGACAAAGACAGATAATCTACAGGGTGACTTCCCAACAAGACAGCTCAGTGTTGCAAGTCATCAGCGGGCCCGAGACGTCCGTGCAAGATGAGATGCCCGCAGAGGCCGTGCACGTCTTCATCGATGGACACGGTGAGTGCTCAGAGCCCTTCATGACGAGGAGGAAGGGGTGATGTGGGCAGCTGCCGCAGGCTTCCGCAGGACCTCCGGCCCAGGTGCCAGGCTTTGGGGCAGGACGACGCAGGCCTACGGCCGTTCGCACGCAGCGTCCTCAGAGCAGAGAGCGTGCCCTCCGGCCCCGGGGCCTTTGCGCACATCGTGCCCGTAGCCCACAGGGTGCCTTTCGCCCTTGGTATCGCGGCTCTGCAGACGCTTCTGCAGGAAAAGCTTTCCTGACCTCCAGGAGTCACCGGCCCGCTCTCTCTTTGATGCTGTTACAGCTTATAATCCTTTATCGACTTACAATTATTTGATTAATGACATTTCCCCATTCACAGTTACAAACTTCAGAAAGGCAGTGGCCAGCACCTAGTAAATATTTTTTGGATATATGTTGAAATATGGTCTTGATATAGGGAAGGGAGGGGGAAGGAGAGGGGAGGGGAGTGGGGAGGGAAAGTCATTAAGCGGCAAATCAAAGTTCTGTAGACAAGGAATGTAGGTCCTAGATTTTGAAGGATGGGTCTTGGCTTGACTTCCTTATGAGCAATGAATACTTGTTACTTTAGCCTCACGAAGATCCGGGTTTGAATAGTGAATCGCATGGCACCTGGTCTAGAGATGAGTAGTGTGTAGTTTGACGTGCAGAAATCCAGTATTTACATCGCGAGGCCCGGCGGTGGCAGTCACATCGCGGCCTGCAGAGGGGCAGTGCCGGTCATCGTGACATTTCTGCTGGTGGGAGGGACCTTCAGGTTGAGGTCCAGTGCTCCAGCTCCGTCCCCTGCTCCCGACAGACGAGGCTAATTACATCCCGTGTCACCTGAAGGAGGTGCTCCTGGAATCTCTCCTGGGAGAGACCGTTTACATTTATAACGTGAACTGATTTTCACACCTCGACACCCTGAGCCTCTTTAGCAGACTAACGTACCTGCAGATGAATTCCATCTCTTGCCGTTCCTCGCTCCCAGGCTGACTCAGCAGACAGGGCGCCCTGCACCGCTCAGCCGCAGATTTGAAGGTGGGGCTGTCCTACGTGCTCCTCCGAGCAGAACCACTCGCTTAATAAGCCTCTTCGAAAAACCCAGTTCCTGCACACACAGAGCACACGGACACACGAAGAGAATATGTAAGAGCGAATTAAGAGATGTTGCACGTGAATCGGTCAAAGCAGGGAAGTCGTAAGTAGCTAAGGCAGACTTGTCCAAGAGTCATCGTAGGAGCGAGGAGGAGGCTGGCACACGTCCTCTGAGTTAAGGAGAAGTGTGAAGAACAGACCGAGATGGCTAGTGGTTTTGTTAGAACAGTTCAGAACGGGTCCCCTGTAACTTGCAAAAAGCCGAAATGACGGTATACGGAGAGCTGTCTCGTGTTCTCTGCTGAAATCCTGTGGTTTTGTAGGGGAAATTCGATCCTGTTATTTAAAGTCTGCCAATCAGACGGAAGGCCCTGTCCAGCGTCAGCCATCAAATTGCGACGGCTTCTCCCAGGCCGGGTAAGTGAGCCGTTTCCAGGTCCGGGAGCCGTGGCGTTGCTGGGGGACACGCGACCCGTCTGACCGCAGAGGGAGCGGTGACTCCGGTGCAGATCAGATGCGTCGATTCGTGTGTAGGTGTCAGATCACGTGGGTTTCATGTGACAGATAAAGAAAATCCGACACTGCAGAACGATCAGGAACAAATGGAACTGTTTTTGTAGCAGCCGCTGCCAGAGGCGGTCACTGGGGGGAGCCCCTTGCCCACAGTGTGGCCCCTTCGCCAGAGATGCACCTGTAGAATTCTTGAACGGTCCCCAGGAAGGGGTTGGCATCTGCGCTGAGGAAGGCAAGCTGTTTCGTAGATCGATAATCTAAACGTCTTTCCTGTTTTCCTTTAGCACGCGCTGAATAACTTTCTTAATCACATGATTCAAGCTGGCATTTGCTCGCCTGCGTGCCTGGGACATACACCGATTAACGGTGGCGGTGGCCACGCTGTAGTCTTTTCGGTGGCAGACCAAACGCATCGTTCGCCCTGGACTTCAGGGTCCTTTGTGGGTAATCCAGGCGGACACGCCCCGGTCGCCCGCTCTGCGTGTGGAGGCGCAGTTAGAATCGTGTGTGTATTTGAGGATTTATGGGGGGCTTTCGTGGCATGGCTGGAATGTCTCGGGCACACGCCCGGAGTGTGGAGGGGGTTCCGGGACCCTGGACTCTGGGTCCGGTGGCTCCACGCTCCTTCCCGAGGTCGACCTTTCCCCCAGGTGTGTATGCGACGTCACGGGAGCCTCCAGCTGCCCAGGATAAAGGCCGTCCTTGTCCTGGTGCTCGTCCTTTCCCTCCCGTGGGATTCCGTCCCCTGTCAGCCTTCCAGGGTGCGCTGTCATCGCCGCCACGGCCACCTCGCACCTGCTCGGGGGCGCGGTGTCCGCCTCTCCCACGGATCCGATGGCTTGGCAGCTGGTGGCCTCCCCTGGCCACGTGGTCCAGTCCTGACCAGGCCCCGGACCTGACAGGAGCAGCTGCTTGAGTCCAGAATCACCCCCAGGGGGAGCAAGTGTATCGTGCAACACCTGCACACCTCCATCGGTGTCCCTCCGGTCCCCACGCAGCCGTCACGACAGGGAGGACACAGAATTCTCCTTCTGCAGAGAAACACGCGGAGCCCCGGGGGACGCAGACCGTGGCCCCGCCTCCCTGGTGTGACGCGTTTAGTCATCGGAGGCGGCAGCTTTCTCAGACGAAGCGTGTGACTGGATGAGAACACGGCTTCGAAGGCCGCCGCGTCCTCCTGTGATGCTTGGTTGAAAGCTGTGGTGCTTTTAAACTAAATTTAGAACAAATATAAGCCTCTTATTTTATCCCAAAATAAAGGCACGGGATTTTCCCGTTTGTATTTTCCTGGACAGAAGCCATCTGCCTTTCCCCCAGGTTAATACGTTAACTGCATTTGCCCGTAGGGCCAGTTAGCATAAGGCCGCTTGGCCGGAGCCTTGAAAATCGGAAAACACACAGAGCGCAGACGAGGGTGAGAGATCGTCTGCGGGGTTTTCCAGAAGCCTCGCTCCCTGAGCCCCGGCCTCCCCAGAGCCCCCGCCCCCCGCTGTCTCCCCTCGATTCCTCTGTTCATCAGACTCCCCGTGACCCTCATCTTCATGTCCCCTGTTCTCCTTCCCTGTTAGACCTGCCCCTGCCCCACTGTCCCCCGCCTCACTGCCCTCTGCCCCCTGCCTAACTGCCCCCTGCCTCACTGCCCCCTGCCTAACTGCCCTCTGCTGCGCGCCCACCAGTTGGCCACCCCGCCTCTGCTCGCGGTGACAAAGCTGTGTGCAGCGTGCCCACGGCCCTTCCAGGGCCCTGCCAGGGACCTGCCTTCCAGGTCCCCCGGAGGCCTCAAAGGCCAGACGTCATCGTGGATGTGGCGCCTCGGGTGGCACCTGCCGAGTGGACACTGAGGGGGGTATTGGCGGCTCTCTCCAGACAGAAGTGGGGGACGGCGACATGTTCCCTGTGACCCTGACAGCAAAGACCTGACTCCGGGCCAGGCGCAAGGCTTGGCACTTTTATGAGTCACGTGTGAGGTCTTAAAGTGGCGAACGCTTCGTCGTCTCTCTGTCAACCTGTGATGTTCCAACACTTTGGCCTCCGCGGCCGTTTTAGCTTGGGCGCTTTAATAGTCCATCCCTGCCTTTCAAAGCCACTCACTGCTGCGTTTCCTTACTGTGGTGAACACAAACTTGGACCGTGAACTTGGAGAGATTCCTGGGCGGGGCTGTTTCTCAGCCGCTCGGCCGAGGCAGACGTTGGAGCAGCAGCCTCCTCCCCGCGAGGCGACTCGGTGGCTGGGCCGCGGGATCTCGCCGCTGGCAAGGTCCTCTCTGCCATTGTCCAGCCTGGGAGCCACGTGACCGCTTTGCGGCCCTGACTCCCCAGTATGAATAGGGAATTGTTTGCAGGATGCCTTCCCCAGGGACCTTGGAGGGAAGCAGCGAGGAAACGAACTTCCCTCCGTGGCCCCAGAGTCACCGTGGGAACCAGCACGTCCCCCGTGAACCGCCAAAGAACCGCAGGCAGCATTTTTCGGTGGCACAATAGCCGTCCGCAGACAGTCACCCCAGTCACATCGTCCAACGTGCTGCTGTTTTACACAGAAACCGGCGTGAGGGGTGACGGCTCGGTCTGCTGCTTCCAGGGACTCTCAGAGGACAGATCACCTCCGTGTCTCATTATCCGAGACACAGGCGAGACTCAGCAGCTCGGGGCCTAAGGCCAGGCAGCTTCCCAGAGCTGGAAGGTACTCTGGAGGCGCCTGTCTGCCCGGAGGCCTGAGCAGCTTCGTGTCCAGAGGGTTCATTTCAGAGTGGACTTTGTCATCTCTCCTGTGGGTCTTGCAATAAAGTGTGATCGTTTTGTTTTTTGTTTTTTTGTTTTCCTTCAAAAGGTTTATATTTCTTTTGCCTGTAAATTCTTCCAAGTAAGGGGGTGGCACTTTCTTCTAGGAAGCTACGTGACGATGCTTCGGTTCTAATCCAGCGCTTCCAGCGTCGTGAGCAGCATCGTGGGAACGCGTTTGGAGAGCCTTGGGAGAGCTGACGGGAAGGCGGATGATTTATACGCATTTTGAGTATCCGTCACTCATAAAGTAGGCGTGTTGTCTTCCAAGAGGGAGGCTCATCCCGGGGCAAATGAGTTGGCGGGATTTTTAATCGGGGTGTGTTGTACCTCAGCTTGGGTAATAATGTCGTTATTTATCTGGACGCACTTATTCGGGCTTTTATTTATTTATGAATCATCGTTGTGCATATCGAAGCAGATATTGTTCTGCTGGTAAACTGGGCCTAATTTTGGAAGCTGCCCCCAGTCTCTAAAGCCATCGTGTCCCATACCCCAGAGGGGACGGACGCCCTGGTCCCAGTCTTTCCTGCCCCGTCGGCACCCCTGCCCTGCGGCTGACACTGTGGCTTCTGTGGCCCTTTCATCCGTTACACTTCCTTTATCGTTGGGGTCAACCCCAGGAGAGCCCTCGACACCCACAGCGCTTCATATGCAGCTGGTCCCCAAGGAGGCGAGCAGGCAGAACGTGGCGAAGAGTCATCTCTTTTAGGTTCTCGTCCTCACAGGAGTCAGGGAACAGCGTTCTCTGGTTTGGAGAAGCTGAGCCAGGGCGTCGGGCACCGAAGTTAGTTGGGTCGTCGAAACGCGGAGTAAAATGTGGCCGGATCTCCCAGTAGCAGACAGGCCTGGTCCTCTGTCCCCTTCACGCTTAGGCTGAAAATGTCGACTCTAATGACGAACATCTGGCAGGGTGTGGCCGTATCGCTGCCGACGCGCATGGCCGGGAAGCTGTGTTCCCCGCTTTAAATGAAAGAGCTGCGGGGGTTCTTGGCACCCGTGGTGGAAGTGGCCTGGGAGGAGCCACAGGGCATGGGGGGCTTTGCCAGAGGTCCGCCGTCGCTTCTGGTTTTCAGTGGTCCCCGTTTGTTTTCTCGGACCCGAGAGAGGTTCAGTTTCCGTCCAGGCGCAGAGTCGTAAGGACGGAAGGCAGACGAGGGAGCTGTCGATTCTGGAATGACTTCTCTCCTCCGAGACACCTTCTCTGACTCCGGGAAGAAGCCCGGTGGCACAGTGGGGTTCTGCGTTCACGGTCACGGCCCCGGCTGCCACACGGTGGCGCTCAGGCCCCGTGCTCCAGGCCCCGTCCGGCTCCCCCTGGGGCGTCCCTTTATCTCAAACGCACAGATGAATTCTGCTGTCATAGAAAGAAGGGCTGTTTGCAGACTTTAAAACAAGAATTCCTGTTAACATTCTAAATAACAGCCTGTAGTTTCCAAAACAGGGCTGGTTTCTTTAAATATCCTACATGGCGAACGTGCTGCCACGGCTCTCGTTTCTAGGTGGCCCCTCCGCGTGGCTTGGTCCCATGTCCCCCGAGTAACCTTGAAAAATAAGGCGGGATCAGCGGAAAAAGAGGGGGCCTCTCCCTCCCGCCGGTGAGGTCTGGGAGGGCGAAGAATTTCAGGAATTGTGTCCACGTTGAGGGAATCATGGAGCGGCACAGGCCTTTGGGTTCTTTGTCCCTTGCAGGAGCACAGGTGGCTGAAGGGCCAGGAGCACGGCACGGATGGAAGAGCTTCGTCGCCCTGCTCGAGAGCCGCGTCGGCCCGTGCCAACGGGCACCGTTCCGGTCCCCGGCTCGTCTTTTTTCCGTTCGGCGGCTGCTGGTTTTGTGGTTCCCATTCATCACCGTCTCTGCTGTAGCTCTGAGCGCGATCCGGGCCAGCTCAGTGTATCCGTGCTGTGTATCCGCTCAGTGTACCTGCCGAACCCGCTCGTCAGTCGGCCAGAGTTTAGTGGGGCGGGCGGCGGGGCGCAGGCTCGCCGACAGCACAGGGCCAGGTCCCCGCAGGTCTGGGGGGGTCTCCACGTCCATCGCTGTTTCAGAGGAGGGAGTGTCTCATGACACTTAGCATTTTCCCATGATATTTGCGAAACGTGGCGGGAAACCTTTGGCCTTAACTTAGTCAAACAGAAACTGTCGAGACGACCTCGCAGCTCACCGTCCATGGCTCAGGGAGGGAGGAGAAGCAGTGAATAGTCTGAGGAGAGAGCCCAGGATGAGAAGTTAGGGTCAGTCCTCAGGGGTCAGCGGGAAGACCGCGTGACTTTTGTGCCACGCTGGCCTCTTCGGTCCTCGCGTGGGCAGGCTGGTGCCCTGGATTACGGCTCCATCGGGACCCCAGAGAACTGAGTCTAAGCGAGGGGACGAGTCTCTGTCAGTCGAGTGATGCTTCCTGTAGCGTTTACTCTCCCTCCTGGCTGAATGGGAAGCCTGTATATACATGACAATACAGGTTTTCTGGTGAGGACCTGCTAGTCCAAAAACTCAGACAGGGATCATGCCTTGTCTCGAATACTCAGCTCTTGTAAAAGTAATTAATTCAGAGGGAACTTAAAGTGTTGCTTGAGCCTGTCTTTATAAAATGGAAAGTATTACATGTGGGTTGAGGGCAGAACTCTCTTCCCCGTTCCAGCTAATAAACACACCTGGATTTCATATGTCACTTGTGTGAACAGCAGAGGCGTCATGTTGCTATGTAATCTGAAAATAAGCCAAGTCGGGTCCTGTATCGATAGGAGGAAATTAAGAGGTTAGTTGTGGGCGTTAAGAGTCCAGTGTCTCGGAGGCGACACTGGTGTTTGCCGTCAGCCGTCTGATTTAAGAGCCACAACAAGCCCAGTGGGTGAGCATCGCCCCGGTTTTATGGATGAGGGTTCGACAGGCTTGAAGTCACAGGGAGTAAGCCTGGCCGTTTCCTTCCAGAATTCATCCGAAAGATTTTGTAAAGAAAGCCAAAGCCGAGGGTTGTACCCAGGCTTTTTAGGTGGCTCGTGTAAGACGCTATTTGCTGTCATCGTGCCGTCAGGAGCGCGCAGATACGACGCGCCTTTTGCAGAGGATTTCCTCGCAGGACGGGCTCGCTCCCCGCGCACCCCGCAATTCTCGGTTCACCTCAGTCAGCAGCAGAGGGCGCCGTGCGCTCTCAGACTCAGGGAAGCGCGGTCTCATCCCGCACCGGCCAGGTGACCGCCCTCACCTGCAGCGAAGTCAGATTAGTCTTTTGGTTTCCGTGATGTGCTGGCATTTGCTATGTCTTAGATTTCTCTGAGTTCGTACTGACCGGGCATTTTCAATCCTACTGAATTTCACTACGAAATGGCAGGATCGCAGTGCTCTGGTTTCTGCCCAGAGCAGAAGCGTTCGCATGAACACTGTCCTCGCAAACCTGTTTTTTTCTCTGTTAGTGACGGATATTATTACACCACAAATATAAACGGGAAGCAAAGGCACTGTTTACGGAACAGTCGCCCGAGTGACAGAAGGAGAGGATGTTTAAGTTTCAGACTCTGCACGTAACCCGCCGGGTCTGTCACTTACCCCCCCAATTTGTCTCTTAAACGTGACTTTAGCACTCTACGCTTCCTAAGTGGCCCTTTCCAGCGAGGTCTTCACTGAATGTGTCATCAAATAGTCATAAATACGTGTTCAACACGTGGAGAAATCCGTGTGTGTGTGTGTGCACGCGCGTGTGTGTGAGAACAGTGGAAATATTTTAGACTCTTCTCCTGTGGAATATTTGTATGTTTACGGATCAGTAGGGAGCTGGGAAAAAAAGATCAAAAACTCGTCGGAGATGATGAAGCGTGAGATTAGAAATCAGGAGGCGCCCTCGCCGGTGTAGCGTCTGCGTTCTCGAGGAGGTTTGGGCTGCAAGGAACGGGAGACCCAAATTCGGAATGGGTTGGATAATAACGAGATGCGTTATTTCGGAAAACAGGAAGTCCGAAGTCAAGGTTGGTCGGTCGTCAAGGAACTTGTTTCTGTCCGTCTCCCACCTCCGCCGTCCTCAGGGCTCTGTCCCCAGGCGTGGCCCTCGTGAGGGCAGCGTGGCTGCTAGTTTCCTACTCACGTGGCGTCTAAAGGCCAGGAGAAGGTGGTCTCTTTCATTACCTTTTAAGAAGTGGAAAAACTTGTCCGTGAGCTCCCTGACCCCCAGCCGACTCCCCTTTGCTCCACGGTGTCCCCCTAGAATTGTGTCAAACTCACACCCCAAAGCCAGACACGGGCCGTGGGGCGTGGAGTTCCCTTGGCGGGTGTGGGACGACCAGGATTTACCACTGTGGGGGGACCTTATCTCCACCCTGAAGCCCACAGTCTTAGGTGACAATCGGATGGGGCTACGTTAGCAGGAATTCGGGGAGGAATGACTGGCAGGTGCCCCCGGGGTTACCTCCTCAGCCCTGTGGGCTCCCCGCTGGAGAAGCCGGTGCAGCCGTGTGTCCCGATTTCTTAAACCCTGTCGTCCCTCTGTAGGTGATTAAAGACAAGGAGACCATTTCGATGTAATCACAGCTAATCTCGTGATGCGTCTTCAGTGACCTGAGGCGTTCCCTTCGCCTCCTGCTGCGGGTGGGGGTTTGGGGGGTCGCAGGGGGTAGCAGGGGTGTTAGATGATCCCGGTTTCTTCCTGACGATGTCGTGGGAATTATCCGACCCCCTGTGTATTGTTTTCACGATACACGTGGCCGGGGACCACGGCGACCACTGCCCCACGCGTCAGGTGCGTGGGACGCGGAGGCGGCCACCCCTCGAACTCAGGCGCCTGCCTACCGGGCGCAGCTCGGCGCCCCGCACAGCCTGGGCGGTGGGTGCAGGATGCAGACGGCGCCGGACACACCGTTTTCAGCCCTAACCCTCGGCCACCCCCGGTGTCCCGTGCGCGTGTGTAACGGGTAGGGGACTCCGTGCCCCCAGGTGACCAGAGTGTGTCTTGCCCACCCCCAGAGAGCTGCCCATCGGCTCCTCCAGCACCAGCTCTGCCGAGAGTCCAGAGCCGTCCTCCGGGGACCCGGCCGTCAGCGCACTCCAGCGACAGCTGTTGCTCATGGTGGCTCAGAGGACCCAGCCGGAAGCCACTCGGGTACGTGCCAGCACGGCAGACGTGAGCGTCCCAGAGGCCCCCGGGTTGGACCCCCAACGGCGTGAGTCCGGGCTCGCCCTGAGTTTGTGTCCCCGCATGGCAGTCTGTCTGTGGCACGAACGTGAAAGCCGCTGTTCCGGTGACAGGTCCCTTCCGTTGACGCCAGCGGGATTGGACACCGTCCTCGCTGCTCTCGCAAACGCGTTAGATGGGACGGGGCGTGGAGGGGGAAGGGCCACGGGCCGGACCGTGAGGAAAGGCGGCGTGCGCCGGGCCGGGCCGAGGGCCGAGGCTCCCGGGGGCACCGACGAGGCAGGCGAAGCTTCGCCGCCGCGTTTACCCTCCTCCTGGCGGCGCGCGCGCTCCTGCACCAGAGGCTCGCGGAAGGGAGCCCGGGCGTTCTTGGTTCTTGTTCGTGTGAAAGCTCGGCCGGAGTTTTCCAAAAGCTGCCGGGCAGTGTCGTGGGACGGAATGGACCCGTTACGTACGTGCCAGGTGTGCGGGAAGACGCCGCGCTGTCTCCTGACCGACTGCCCGACACCAGGGAGGCCCGTCCCGCCGACTAGGTGGGGGTGGGGGTCATGGAGACCCCACCGTGCCCGTGAAGCTCAGTCAGCCCTTCTGGGCTCGGCGTTTCCATGGGAACGAGCATCCAGCTGATTCAGAGAAGCAGGCGAAGGGCTCTTCCTTCTCCTCCTGTGTTCACTCGCCCCTCCCGCCTTCCAGGGGCTCTGGGTGCAGGAAGCTTCCTAGGGAGGCACCTGGAAGCAGCCGAGCACTGCCAGACGCCTGCCACCAGCCTGGTCGCCGGGCGTGACGGCGGTGCCTGCGGAGGGGCGGCTGCTCCTGCCCCGTTGGCATGCAGTGGTGGGGTCCGCAGACCCCGCTGTCGGCCCCGGTTCCGGGGGCCCTGTGCCGCGTGGCCTCCTCTCCCCACCAGTCTCCTCGGCTCTCCAGTCTCCTCTGCACCTCCTGCTCCCTGCCCCGTGCCCCGCCCCCACCCCGGCTGCCACGGCGAGGTCCCCCAGTGAGCCACAGAATGTGGGGGGCCCTGCGGAATGTGGGTTTTCTCTGAGAAACTTGCGTTTTCCCTGACACAGGGAATGTGTGTGCATTGAATGAAGTCGCCCTGCGGGACGTGGGGGAGGGTCCCAGTAAGGCTGGTCCTGGTCCACATCTTTTTATATTAGGCTGACAAGAACTGGGGATGTCTTCGTCTGGGGGCCCACGAAGCGGCCACCCACTCCTAGAATTCACTAAACAGCCTCCATCATCACCACCCCACTGGGTGGAAATCCGCCTGCACAGACCTTGATGCGGGTCAAGGAGGCAGAAACCTCTCTTCAGACTGTGTGACCACAAACGACTTCCATGGAAGTTCGAGGCCCCTAGTTACGAGACCTGCGTGGTCCAAACAGCTCCAACCAGAACGTTACCATAAAGTGGTACCAGGCTGGTGTTGCCTCCAAGTGCCCAGGAGAAACAGGAAAATTTTAAGGTGGAATAACGGAGCTTTAGCCTCGCTCTCCAGGAATTCATACTAATGAGGATCCGAGGAAAGTGTGATTCAACGAAAAGTTATAAAACATCCTGGAAAACATACCGCCGTGAATAAGAGCCAGCAAAAGTTAACAAACGCACAAACGGACTCGCAGCAAATTTAGAAATTGTAATGATCGGGTTCAGAATACGGATTCAGCACATCTACTAGGTATCAAAGAGACAAAAAGAGAAATTGAAAATATAAAAGCAAAAGGCCATAGAGAGACCGAGCAGACCTGAAAAGCTCCGAATACTAGGAATGAAAAGTAGAACAATGAAATAAAGCTCTGAAGGATTGAACAGGAAATCTGGCACCTTTGACTAGAGAATCGGCGAACTGGAAGTTGGCGCCGGGGATGCTATTTAGATGTAGCCGGACACTCAGAGAGGAAGGAGGCTGAGCAGCGTCAGGCCAGGGTGGGACGGGCTGGCCTGCGCCCGCTCGGGGTTCCGGATGGGCCTGGAGGAAGGAGCGGGGTAGCGAGGGGCCGAAGGCTCAGACGCAGGCCGACGCGGGCGCTGGGGTGCTGGCACCTGCGAGGGAAGCGGGGCAGGCTCAGAAATGGCACTGGAACAAGAGTTTTCTTTATGGGAAAGAAATCGAGCCCCTGTCTCGCGTACGGAAATTCCTGGCAGGCTAGGAAATGCGAAAGGCAAATCGATGCCACTTTGAAAAAACGTGATAAAATCAAATTGTTTTTTTAAAACTGTGGAGTAGACAGGGATTGGAAAAACAAGGCACGGAACTTGCAAAAATTTTGAACTTTATTAGAAAAGATGGATAAATTATATTTTACTTCAATTAAGAACGTCTCTTTATCAATAACACCATAAAGAAAGTGAAAAGACAAGCCATAAAGTAGGAAAATAGCTAAAATTCACATCTCTAATTAAGGTTTTGATCATATACGTACATACACATGTCTATGCACACACGCATACACACATGCACGCCCATATGTATGCACACACATACATGTATACCCATAACACACTCACACACATCCACTTATACGCGTGCACACATACGTAAGCGCATCCGCACATGCACACAGATAAACACATAGAAAGCAACGAGAAACAAGTGAACCAAGAGAGAAATGTCAAATAATTTCATGAAGAAAAGCTAAAAATGGACAAAGATGCTCCACTTCGTTAATAACGCGGGAAACGTAAATTAGACTAAAAAGGAAACGTCATTTTACGTTTTCCAGACGAGCAAAAATTAAACTTCCCCCGACCTGTCGCCTGGTGGAGGAGACATGCACACGAGCAGCTGTGAGCTGTTGGTGCGCGTGTGGGCTGGTACAATCACTTTCGAGAACGTGCTTTCCTAACACGAGCATTTCCATACCCAGTTATTCCATTTGTGGCAAATGTGTGCGTTTCCGGGGAAAGTCGAGCAGTTTCTTCCCCGGTAAAGTTGAGCATTTGTATTCCCAGCAATTCCATCCCTCGGTGTCTGTCCTCAAGAAACTCTTGTGCATATGTACCAGGAGATGTGTCCGAGAGCGTTCACAGCACCGCGATAGCAAAAAAACCAAACAAACAAACAAACAAAAAAAAACAGAAAGAAAAACCCCCTAAATATTCAATGGTAAAATGGGTAAGTAAATTGCGGCCTATCCATGTCACGGACTAACTCACAGCCATGAACATGGGGGTCCCAGCCGCGAAACAGCGTGTTACCTACGGGTCGCAGGAACCCAATGCCGACTGGAGGAAAGAAGCTAAAAGCAAATTGCGGAAAGATACATTCCGTACGCGTTTGTATCTGTGAAGTCGAAAACCGTGAGACTGAGCCGTCCGGCAGTCTGGACATCGGCATAGCAAAACCGAAGGAGAGGGAGGGAGGGACGAGCCGCAGCGAGCCCTGGCGGAGGGGGCGGGACTCGGGATGGCCCGGGGGGACCCCCACGCATGCGCTCCCGCGATGAACGCTGATCGCTGATCGATGAATGCCGATCGTTGCTCATCAGGCCTCACACACCCTTGAAAGGCTGCGTTTGCGTCAGCGCGACGGTGAGCACTCTCCGGTCTCAGGAACGTGGTACCTGGCGGGGGTCTGTGTGGGGGAGAACACCCACGGGGGCCTCCCGGGCCTCGGAGCACTGGAGGGAGACAGGAAGGAGGGTTCAGGGCGCCCCGAAGCCCGCGTCGAGGGGCGCGAGAAGGAAAAAGTGCACGTTTGGGGTGATGGCTGTGACAGAGGCCAGAGTTCAATGCCCGAGGTTAAGGGGGGGTCCTCTGGTCTCCTGAGAAATTTAGCGCTGTGGGGCATGTTGTTCCTCCCCATGAGTCGACCAGGTGGCTGTCAGTCGGCGCTCGACTGCCACCGTGGTCTCTGCAAGGGCCGCAACGGGCGGCTTGGACCGCTCGGCTCTTAAATGCGGCATCAGGTGTTGGACGAGGAAGTGATTTTCCCCTTACACTTCCCTAGTTCCCCGCTGGCCTCTGCGTTCCCCCACCCGCTGGTCCCTGGGCTCGACTGAGGTCCCTGTCCCCTCTGCTAGCGGGCAGTGCTGGGCCGCGGCCTGCCTCCCGTGGTTTTGAGTCTGACCGTGGTGATGGAAGGGGTGTTTTCTCGCAGGCATTTGGATGCAGAGACCGCGTCCACCACGTTCTACCTACTTTCCCGTTCCCGACCTCACGCCTGGCTCCCAAGCCGCCCATTAAGTGTTTGTTAGACAAATCAACGAAGCCTTTTTTTTTTTATGATTTTTTCCAAAATTGAATTCTTCTCCACTGGATTAGAGCCAATCACAGATGATTTGGTGTTAAAACATTTTAAACCCGGATATAAATTTCCCCACCAATTTCTGTTTTATTGGTTTAGACTTCGTCCTATAAATATTTTGGTTTTTCTTCTATTGGGCCTCACCAGTGTCCTACACATTGGCAATGAAAATTTTTTTACTAAGAGCAAAACCTGAGCATTTATCTTGACATTCCGTTGAGTCACAGACCTTCACAAATGAAGTCAGTCATTTAAGATCCTCCGCTGAATTCTGATCTTTCCTAGGAGTTATTCCCATGGCAGTTTCTTGGCCTCAATTAAGAGCAGTGTTTTGAAATGACAAGTAGTTCATGACCATGGTGTGTCACAGCAGAAGTGGCGTCTGTTGGTAAGAAAGACGCCTTTGCATCGATCACGGTCCTGCTCTCAGGCCGCCCATTTTTACGAAACTGTCCGCTCACGTTTCGGAACGCGAACACCTGCTCCTCGCGCTCGCAAGCCGCGAGGCGCGTCTGTGGCCGCAACGCGTCAGTGTGAAACCCCCTCTCTGCTGTCCCCTTTGCGTCCCGCAGCGTCCGAGTCGGGGCCCGGAGGACTCGTCCTGTTCATCCACACAAGGGAAGTTTGACCGGGAGCAGTTCTACAAGTTCGTCATCTTCCCGGGCAAGTGGATCAAAGTCTGGTGCGACCGCCTGGCCCTGCTGGCGCTGCTTGACCGGTGAGCCGCGCGCGTGCAGGGTGCGTGGACGCGCCGCGGGGCGTGCAGTGTGCACGCGTGTGCTGGGCGGAGCGGACCGGGGCCGTGCGCCCCGTGCTGCAGACCCGCAGCCAGAGCGCCAGGTCTGATGACCGTAGGCACAGTGACTTAGCCCCCGAAATGGGCGGCGTGCGATCGGGCGGGTGGTTGGGGTGTAAGGTTAGCTTTGGGGACGACGTCGTGCGTGGGCCTGCTGGCAGCTGTCCACGTTGGAGGCTCCCACATGGAGCGCGAGGCCTGGCCGGGGTCGTGGGGGGCGATTTCTGTCTCCTCCCAGGCAGAGCTTCATTCTGCTTCCCACCCCTGTCTGCTGCACGCTAATTGGAGTGGTCATCTTTTTTAACACCCTTTTGGTCATCCTCACCTCTTGCCATGGCTCCTCAAGACAAGATGGCCTGGGTTGCAGGTGTGGGTACTGCGTGGGGAGGATTTGGAGGGGTGTCAGGTGGGTTAACGTATGGTGGAGATGGGCCAGGGATGGGATTTCCCCTTTCTGTCCCCTACCTGAAGGGAGGCAAAGGACAGGAGTAGCACCTTCAGGAACTGTAGTTCTGACTGGAGCGTTTGCCTGAAATTTCAGGGCGCCCTTGCCCACGCTGTCATCGGCCGGTGCCGAGCTCCGCAGTAAATGCGAGCCGGCGGGGGCCGTGGGGAGGCCGGTCGCCTGCCTTGCTGCAGCTGGTCCCCCAGCGATGTCTTAAATGGTGTGATCGCATATTAAAAAACTACAGTCGTGCAAAATTACCACCGTAAATTCCAGGACCCACACGTCGGGGAGCGGGGGCATAATGGTCCTCCTGACAGTACTGTCTCGCGAGGCCCCGCTCTAAGATGAGCGTTTCAACTTAACTAAAGTAACCCAACGTGACACGTTCTGGTAGACTGAGGCAGTCTTCTGGAACACTTTCTTCCGTTAAAAAGGAATTATTAAAATCAGACTAGCTAGGGTTGCTGGGGGTGGGGGTGGGGGGAGGGGCTCTCTGGGAACTCTGTGCTTTGTTGGGGTTGATGATGGGATTT